ATTCTTTTCAAGTTCACATGGGACATTTTCCAAGATAGACCACATGTTAGGCAACAAAGCAAGTCTTAATAAATTTAATAAGACTGAAATCATATCAGACATCTTCTCTGACCACAGTGAGATAAAACTAGAAATCAATTAGAAGAAAAAACTGAAAAACACACACAAACACAAGGAGGTTAAATAACATGCTACTAAACAATGAATGGGTCAATAGTGAGATCAAGGAAGAAATAAAAAATACCTTGAGACAAACAAAAATAAAAACACAATGACCCAAAAATCTATGAAATAAAACGAAAAACAATCCTAAGAGGGAAATTCATAGCAATACAGGCCTACCTCAAGAAAGAAGAAAAATCTTAAATAAATAACTTAATCTTTTCTTATCTGATTGCTATAGCTAAGACTTCTAATACTATGCTAAATAAAAATGGTAAAAGTGGTATCTTTGTATATAAAAAGCACTGTGGAAGAGAGCTTAATGCTCTGGTCAAGTGTACCCACATTGGAGCAGGATACTTGTCCAATTGGATCATGGGTCTCATTCAGTATAGTAATTATAGAAGCAAAATTTGGGCTAACAACATGGAACACTGGGTTTCCCCTTTCAAATATGAATCATAATAAAAATAGTTTTTATTAGCATCTTCTAGAAAACCACAGCATATCTTTGCATATTGTTAATTGTAGATATACAAGCCTTTGTAAATCTCCTAGCAATAGGACCTTATATATGAGAGAATTAATAGGTAAAATGACTGCACAGAGTTTACATCCAAGCTTTGAGAGATTTATGAGTTTTAGTGGAAGTTTCATTTGAAATAATGGAAGTAACATTGAACACTTAGGAAGTTAAATGGATAACTGAAAAATATGACACTTATTTAGAATAGTGTTCTAGATGTCCTCTTGCCTTTTACCTATTTTCACAAAGAGAAAAAATATGTAAAGAAATGATGCTATACAATCATTGTACCAAAATTCCATTGTCTACCGTTGTGTAGAAAAGGAAAACAAGGAACAGGTTTCCAGATTCCCACTTTGCATATTTGACACACATTTTTGACACGCCTCTTGTGTGTGGAGTTTGTTTATCCCTCACCTTATTCCAGAAAAAAATGAAAGCATCTTACAAAACCACATAAATTAAGACTCCAAGTAAAATAAGAAGAAATAAGGGTGGGGATGGAAAATAAAGCTAGGAATGATGCCAAAACATGCACACCACAAAGAACTATACACTTAGTATGGGCGGGGGACACATTTGGCTCTGGTTTTCCAGCAGTCAACAGAGAACAAGAAATTTGGTTATAGTGTCACAAAATAAATATAGTTTCTCAGAAAAAAATACAATGTTTTTTTCACATTAAGAACAGAGTTTTTTTCTCCATGGTTTTTATAAGGAGGATACTGTATGAATTAATAAGTAATGTCTAGCAACACTCTTACTATGCACAATAGATTTTCATGGCTGATTCTTATAGTGGACTTGAACACACATGATGGCATTATACCAAAGATTATCTAATAAAATATTTTGGAATGGGACAATTCTTTTGTGAAGAACTAAGAAGAGTTGAGATTTTATTGTATGTGCATGCTAAACTGCACAGTTCATGGAGGCTGGCAAGACACTAAACTAGGTCAAAGACAAAGGACTGTTTATTTACTCATAACAATAACAGTAGCCTGCATATCAGCATTTGTGCCAGTTCTAGGAGCCCCAGTTCCCATAGGGCAATGCAAGCTGGTATAGGTGATATCTACACATGCTGCAGGTTGTATTATAGGAAAGGGGCCCTGAGTTTAGGGAACTTGAATCTTTGATAGTAGGAAGAGTGTATGAGTTCCTTTTGCCCCAGAGGGAGACATTACCTCTATCATACAGGGCAGTGAACAAACTTCCATTTTTCAAGGCTGTTTGCTATAAAGATATTCTTGAAAAGATAGTCTGGAGCAGAGAGAATTGGTAACTCTGCTCAGAAGATGGAGACTATCTGGAGGAATTCATGAATTGTGCTTCATTTGATACTCATCATACTTACTGCACTCTTATCATATGTACTGGGCACAGCGATAAACAGAGCAGGCATGGTTCCTGCCTTTACAGGATAGAGAGAAAATACACATACATTTTATGTGTTTTTCCAGTAGTTTTTCCTAAATATTCTCTCAACAAGGATTTTTTTTTTGATAGCTTTTTTTTTTTTAGAGCCGTTTTAGGTTCACAGCCAAATCGAGCAGAAGGTACAGAGATTTCCCATATACCTACTCCCTTTTCCCACACATGCAAATATACTACATATACTCTGTCCTCCCATTACCAACGTCCCTCACCAGACTGGTATATTTGTGATGAGTGATGAACCTGCGTGACACCTTGTTAACATCCAGTCTATATTTTACCTTAAGGTTCGCTCTCAGTGTTGTTGCACATTCTGTGGGTTTGAATAAATGTGTGAAACAATGTTTTTCACAGATATTGGTGACAATTAGTTCAATATTCTACATCATAAACTTTACATTTCTGTATTTCCAGATAGAGACACAGTGCCTATAGAGGCATTTCTACCAGGGTTTAACGTTGGCATTCTCTCATGACAACTGAGACCTAATAGGGATGAAAGAATTACTCCACAGCTATCATGTAAAAATTACCCATGATCAGAGATCAATTCTTCCTTGAAAATGTTCTTAAATAATCCATTGATTACATGACCACAGCCCTGAAGTTTTATTCCATGTAGCAAGGCACTTACAGTTCTTCTGGAGTGTTTGTCTACATCCTGTTTGGGTTGGGACTCTGACACAACAGAAAACCTTTTGATCATTGAAAAGGTGAAATGACTCCTCTGACGTGTTCTGTTTCTTTATGCCTCCTCCCTGGTCTGAAGGAGAGCTCCAGTACTTTCAAGGTCTTCACAGAATGCTCATTGTCCTACTAGCTAAGATAATAAACCATCTTCTTCTGACAAAACAATCAGAGATTAGCCTTTATTTAATTAGCTCCCCATCAGTTCCAACCTGCAAATAATTATTGCTAATGTAGACCGGACTTAGCCTGCAGGCCAAGCAGAGACTGATTCCTTAATTCCATTACCTAACCCTTGAACCAGCCCCTCACACTGTTTTGAAGAACTGGCCTTCTTTTCAGTATTTCTGCTGGTTTCCCCCCATCAGAAACCTGTCATTTCTGCTAATACAGTGGCTCACTAGCTTAACTTAATGGCAATGACATATAGAACCAGAATCAACAGTGCCAGCTGGATAAATGTCCAAACTCGGGTTTGAGAGAGCTGCCTATTCAAGTAAAAAATTAGAGATGAAAAAGACCTGTTAAATAACCCAATCCCCTCCATAGCCAGTGCCAGAGCATTCCTAGGGTGAAAGCTGAGACTGGGCCAGCTCTAAATGACTTTAACAATGTGCCTTCTCACGCTTTCTTTAGAAGACAGGGCTGTCTCTTCAATTTTTCTTTTCTTTTCTTTTCTTTTTTTTGTAAGTTTTTCAACTAGAATTTAATGTGACCAGCATTATTCCATTTCCCTTTTACTGTTCTGGTTCAGCTACAGCAACCCCTTGACATACACTATTTTCAAATAGTCAATATAAATGTACAGACAACGTTTAAGGCACTTTATTAACCCAGCCATTCCAGCAATGTCAGGGTAATGTGATGGGGGGAGAGAGAGGACACACGTGGGCTTTGGAGGTAGGAACACCCGGGTTAGAATCATAGTTCTACTTAATTGGGGGATTTATTATGCTCAGTGCTATTGTGTGCAGTGACTGTTATTTATTAAATGCTTCCTGTGGGCAAGGCTCTAAGGTAAGTACTATCCCAAAATCCTGCTGGCAAATGTATGAACTTGGTACTATCATCTCTATTTTATAATTTAAAGTTTAGTAATTAAGAGTGGATGCTCTGGGGTTAAATTGCCAGATTACAATGCCAGCTACATTGCTGACTAACATTGTGACCTTGTGCCTGTCACTTAACTTCTCTATGCCCAGTTGTGGGGGATTTTTTTGTTTCTTTTTGTTTTTTAACCTGTAAAGTGGATGTGATGACAGCGACTGCCTCCTAGGTTATTCTGAGGGATAAATATTTTAATAATATGTGAACAGATTAGATCAGTGCCTGGCATGGAGCAAGTACTTAAATGTAAGTAATGTTTATGAGATAGAGAAATTTGTTCAAAGGCACACAGCATTCAAATTTAAACTCTGGTCAGGTCTATTCCAAAGTCCATCCAAATTATCAACCATTAGAATACACTGGCTTGGTCAGGATGCTTAACCTGTCTGAGCCTCAGTTTTTCTCACTGGTTAAGAACAGATAACACCGTATCTCCTGTACTGCCACTGTGAGGATTAATTTACAATAACGTAGGTAGAGATACTGTTACAGAACATGGCCCAGCACTGCGGATTTATCAGTGATAGTTAATTCACTGTATCTCTACATCGGTACCTATAGAATATCTGTATATCTCCATCTCTATATCTATCTATCTATCTATCTATCTATCATCTATCTATCTATCATTTATTTATCTATCTATCATCTATCCCTCTATCTCTATACAATGAATAGCTGTAACCAAGTACTTACTCTTAAATGTTTCTCATAATATTGGAACTTCAGAATTGTTCAAAGTGTATTCTTATGAGTTTACTTCCTAATAGGTTTCATTTTATATTTTTAACATTCCAATGTCTCAGTATGTCTTTTCTGGATTTTTAAAAATAGTTCATCAAATGTTTCAAAATTGCCTAGATACTATATATTTCACAAATATAGATTTAGCATAATTTCAACTCTTAAATCACAAAGGGAAGAGAAGAGACAGACGGTTATAACCTAGCAGGAAATGTGATGGTATGTTTTTGCTGTTGTGCCTTTTTTTTTTTTTTTTGGTGTGTGTGAGAAAGGGTATGATGTCATTTTGTCTCCACCCCCTGTGAGTAAGCCCAGGCACAGCTAAGTGCAGCCGCCCGCCTCTGTCACTGGGAGACAGTCCACTTAAATGCAGCTCCAGGGCTGCGGGACACCCACCAGCATCACTCCTTGTGAGAGGGTGGCAAATGCAACATGCTCTCCAGCTTGGGGTGTCTACTTCTCTGTGGAAATATTGCACTAGTCCTGGGAAATGCACAGAAATTGCCAAAAGGCAAGTAGCTCTGATGTTTTGTGTTTTTAAAATACTTTTTAAGAGATACTAGTTTTTAAATGTTGATGTTAAATGTGATCTGCTTTACCAGGTGGGGGGAATAGTTCATATGTATGAAGGAGTTGCTTAAACTTTTACTTTTTTCCCCCTCTGCAATTTACTTTCAATTGGATCTCTTTATTGCAAAAATGAAAACCTTTTTTTTATTAGGCTTAGCAGATAGTCACAGTAGCTTAAATAGTATAGTTTCAAACTATAGTATTTGTGTATTGAATCATATTGTATTGATTGGGTATTGGAGTCTGTTGAAAAGAGTTGTTGGGTGTTTTTAACCCCCTCCCCAAAGATTAAACCAGTATCAGTTTAAGGCTTAAAAATAAGCTAATTCTGAAACCTTGAATCTTTGCTGTAAACTTCAGACGTACCTGTGAACTAGGAGGTTGAAGGATTCTAGGCACAGCACACAGTGTAGGATCATGTGTTAATTCATTGACACTTCTCTCCAGTGGAGTTTGGAAGAAGGTTTGATCTGCTGGACAGGACACTCCCCCCTTTCCTGGCTAAAGTGCTCTCATTTAGTGTTGGCATTTTGTTTACAAATGTCATTAGAATAAAATTAAAATTTTGGAATTTACCCTAAAAACAATCTCTTGAGTTCATTAGCACCAAAACAAGAGTTTACCTCGCTCGCCTTTGAACGTAAATGTTTCGTGTACTTTTTGTTGCTGTGCAAATGCACTTTTCTAAGCCAACTTCAGGTCTGTGAAGGCTTTTTATGGTTGCAGACTGCTGTAGTCAGCAGGATTATGAAAAACAGACTGGAATTTACTATACAGTTATAATGGAAAATATGGGTGGTAATGCAGAACCGCAGGCTTGTCAAAAACCTGGTGTGTATAAAGTCAGAAAGAAAGGTTGTTAGTGTCAGACTATTCGCAAGATTCTTCCTAGGTCTTGCCTCTGGATAGTTTGCTCTAAGATCATCTTGTCCCAAGTGAAAACTGTTCTCTTCACTGTGTGAAGTGAAAGTTGAATCTAGACTTTGTGAAGGCTGAAGGTTTGACTAGTTGATTCTTCACATGATCATGTAAAAAGCAATAAAAAAGACTAAGTAACCTTTTCAACTCTGATCAGATAATTATGCAAAGAAAATAAAAACAAGTGCTGTACATACCAATAGGTTTTTTCTTTTATCAATAATTTTGTTCCTCGATCATACTAAGTGTTTCAATAAATCAATTACGAGCCACAAGCATTCAGAGTTAATTGTTCCTGCTGCTGAAATATTTAACAAGGACATACCATTTGAGAGGAGTCTGGGGTTTTTCTCAGTCTCAATACCTACAGATGGTTTTATTTTCACCTTGTATTCACTGTGTAGGGATGATAGTCACAATTTTGTTACTGCAGACTTCTGTAAACTTCAAGTGCTTTAATTATCACATTGTAATCACTGGCTACAAATCTCTTGACATAGTTTTCGTTTGTTATGGTAAAAAAAAAATGTTGTCAAAACAACCAAAAATTTTTGTCTAGTCTATTGCACTTTAATCTGAAGTATTTTCATCCAGATTTCTTTTGTAATTTTTGAAAATATCCATAGTTTTACTAATATTATAAAATAAACGGCAAGTGTCTTTATCTCTAATGATATATTTTATCTTTATTATGAAAGCTGCTGAGGAACTTGCTTTTAGCTGAAGCTGCCTTTCTCAAATTGTGTTCCAAGAATAGGTGTACTGTCCTCAAAAAGGGGTTGGGACAGGCATCTGCTCCCTATCAATAACTTGGAGAGCACTCATGCTTTGTCTGATTTTCGGGAGTCACAGTAAATGTGAGACTTTTACAGGTTCTGAAAAGTTCTCTGTTAAGAAACCTATCCAACTTTTTTAACCTATTGTTTCCCAAATTGATTTGACTAAGAATGTTTTTTTTCTGCTGGAATAGCTATGATATCTTTCACAGAACACATTTGAAAAAATGTTGAACTAAAGAAAAAAGGGATAAAATTTTTTCTTTTCTTCTTCCTGTTTACATTACATCAGTCAAATATCATTTGTGATTTAAAAAGAGGAAAGAATTTTGGAGCTAGAAAGGACACTAGTGATCACTTAGTTTGTGGTTTATGGAACAGTAAAAATACATATAATTTTTTCAATATCAGGGTTCTATCATAGAGGGCATACTTGAATATTGCCATGTGAGGATGTTAAAGGGGGAAAATAAAACCCCATTGTTCATAAAAGCAAGCTAATTTAACAGATTTATAAAATAAATGAATTTATATAAATATATCCATTGTTCTTATTTTTCTCATTTCACCACAGACTGATGAAAAGTTCATCTCAGGCCAACATTTGGAAACTACCTACCTAGCCAATCATTTATTTTACAAATGAAGACACCCAAGTGCAGGGGTGTTTTAGTAACTTTCTCACATTGATGGCAGAACCAGGACTGGATCCTGGGCTTCCGATTCGAAACCATGTTCTATTTGATATGTTTGATATTTATAGTTGGTTATTTATAAGAAAAAGAAATGATTTTTAAAAGAAATCATTTATTCCATGTCTTATGCCTGTTTGCATACCTAGCCACATACTTATTAAAATAATACGTTGTTAGAAGAGTCTTGCTTACTTTATTTTCTCGTTTTCTAATTAAATTTATTGGGGTGACATTGGTTCATAAAATTATATAGATTGCAAGCATACAATTTTATAATACATCATCTGTATATTGCACTGTGTGTTCACCACCTAAAGTCAAGTCTCCTTCTGTCACCATGTATTTGACCCTCCTTTACCCTTTTTGACTTGCCCTCTCCTCTCTTTCTTTGTAAAAGCTTAAAGTTAGAGACTATTATTAGCAAACTTCTAATTGTCTCCACTTCTTAATGACTATTCTTTGGAAAATCATTTACCTTTGCTAAGTCTCAGTTTTCTCATCTGTAAAATGGGAATAATGTTAACTATCTCAGTATTTTAGGATTAAATGAGATAAGAGAGGCAAAGGTTTTAGTCAAGTCTGACATATAACAAGTATTCATTTAATAAATATTTATTGGGTCACAGAGAAGTAGGTCAATATCGAAAAAGAATGCATACCAAATAGTATGTGGTCTTGTGTCCAAACAGTCAGGACGATGAAAAATGAGCTGACAAGTTCTTGGCAGAAAGGTGGTACGAGGGAATAAGAGTTTCTCTACACAACGATGAGAGAAGCCTGCTATTACATTCCAGCCTGACCATTGTCAACACCACGATTGACTGTCAAGTTCAAGCATTGCTCTCCTCTATGAAAGCTTCACCTTTGCCTTAGATCAGCCCATCCCTGGGGATTCGTAAGGCCTCAGGGAGCCTCCAGGAAAGATCCTCTTGAACCTGTTTTTCAGGGGGAGAATTAAGCTAAAAACACAGGCTCTTGCGAAGAATTGCCACATTGTTTTACACTTTTGAAAGCCCCTGTGCTCCAGCTACCTCTCAGGATCTTTATTTTTGGCTTCATAGAACTTTTTAAAACCCCCCCCCCCCAGTACAGGCTAAAATAAAAACCACAGAGAAGAATATATGGTGATGGGAGCCAAGAAAAACTTATAATGAGACCGAGGGGCTTGACACACCTCTCTGTAGAAACGCCTGTGTAATCAGCCAGAAGGCAAAGGCTGCTATTTCTCGCCAACTCTATCAGTCCTCCTGAGGCAAGTGGGAGGAACGCCACAGAGGAACATCTAAGAGGCAAGTGTGTAATCAGATGGCTGAGGGCATGATGCTTTTGGGTGGGACTCAGCACTATGCAGAGGAAAGAGGCAGTTGGCTCTTTGCCTCAGGTTTTACCTGACAAGGTAGAAATCTCTGACTCAAAGGATTAAAAAAAACAAAACAAAAACAGGGGCGGACAATGATAACTCTCATAGCTATTAATAACTTATTATTATCATAGATAACATCCTTTGGCCTCATTTTTGTGGTAATTTAGGGCTATTTTAATATGGAAAACCTAACTAAATTTACTATAAATACCTGCTTTATAAGGAAGTATAAAGCAGGTATTTGATTACTCTCATTTTATTGAGTTTAAAATTGTACTTCAGAGTGTTTAAGTGATTTGCCCAAAATTACAAAGCCAGCGAGTGGCAAAAGACCATACCCTTAATTTCCATGTGATATCAGTTCGCTGCTCTATGTAAAGATATGTTAATTTGTTCAAGTAACAAATATAGTCTTTGTGCATGCAGGGCACTGAATCTGGGAAGACTCGGCTTGGCATCTGTCTGTAGGGAGCTGACCAGTTAGTGGAGGAGATAGGGGTGTGTAGGCTTAATTACAGTAGAGTGAGGTCATTCTCTGATTTGGAAGAAGCACAAAGAGCTTTGAGAACAAACAGAAGGACCTAACCCAGAAGGAAGGATCAAGGATTATGAGGAAATGGCACCCAAGTAGAGGCCTGGGGGACAAATCCAAGCTGGGGTAAAGAGGAAGATGGCTGAGAGGTGAGGGGCCTTCCCAACTGGGGTAAGTGTAGGGCCAGACCCAGGTAACCCCCAGGGGCCAGAACTCAGTGGGTGTTAAAGGACTTCGAGAAGAAGCCAAGACTAAGAAGTCCCCACAGGCTGCAACTGTGTCTTCTTTGTCTCGATCTGCCCTGACTCCCTAAGATTGATTTCAAGGAAGCAATAAAAGGCTGTCTTTGGAGAGGAGGGCTCCTACATCTTTTTTCCAGCCATGTAACGTCATCTGACTTTCACTCTTCACAGAACCCTCCCAGCCTCGCTTTGACCAAACAAGAATGTGTCATTCCAAGGCCCAGTCCATTTCTCCAAAGGGTGGTTGATACCTGCCAGGGGTCAGAAAGAATCTCTTCCATCTTAGGGCAGGGAGGTCATTGGTAGGGGGAGGGATAATAGTGAGGAGTAAAAATAAGCCTAGTGCTATTATTTGAGTCATGTATATTTACCGTATTTCCCCATGTATAAGATGCACCCTTTTTCGAAAAATTTG